CTCGATTTTAAATTAAAAAATTATATCACAACATTTAATAATCTATTTGATTAGGTGTTTAAAAATATAAAATCTGAAAGTCACAACATTTAAATATAAATTTTGTAAACTATTGTTGGGACTTTGTCCACTTTTGGCTAGATCCTTTTCCTTCGGTTCTTACATTTTGATCTAAAAATCAAGAAAAAGATCATGATCATGTTTGTGTATAGGATCTCCAATCGATTCTTATGTAGTTCAGGATTTTTACAACAATGAGATGATTGGTATAGCTAAAAACGTCGAAGATTTATTATTCTCTATTTCTTTAATCTACTTGTTACTTCAAATCTAATAATGTCAAATGGTTTTATTCTTATTGAATTCATTAATCACAAAGAGGTCATACATCAATTTTCTTGTGTTTGAGACACTTTAATAGAATTCTGTAGTTGAGAGAATGCATTAACATTTACTAAAGGTTGTTATTGCTAGAACTCTCTTCTCTTATTCTAAAGTTCCCTTTTAATTAATAAGGGTCAAAGTGCTTCTTGCTTTAGTTGCTACTTTGCAATGATATTTAACATCACTGGATGTAAACAATACTTTTTTAAATAAGGATTTCTTTGAAGAAGTTTATATGGATTTTAAGGGGAGCAGTCTTATATAATAGTCAAACAAGTCTGCAAGCTTCACATATTAATTTAGACTTCAAACAAGCTTTTAGGTCTTTGTTGCAATGAAAATCTAATTAGCCTTTGTTGTTAAGTAATTGTCATTACTAGCTCTTCATCAACTGAAATTCAAGTTGTAAAGAATTTTTTATATACTCAATTCTAGCTCAAAGATTTTGGACAAATATGAAATATTTTTTTGGACTTTTTTTTAAAGGTATTAACATTTCTCAAAGATGTTATCTCTCACAACTCCTCAAAAATGCAATATTTTTAGTTTACAAACTTAAAAAACTTCTAATGAAGCATAAGTTGTCCCTTAACGCACATGATTGTGAAATACTGAAATATCTCTTTTAATATAAATGTCTTATGAGATATTTATTATATTTAATACTTTTAAGGTCAGATAACACGTTTGAAGTGTATAAATCTATTTAGCTTTTTTCGTGACCGAGAGAGCCTCATCTACAGGCTGCTAGTCATGTGCTATGTTACATCAAGTGAAAACTTGGCCAAGGTTTCTTCTTTCAGCTGCTTCGTTCCTTGTGCCTCAAGCTTTTCTAAACATGTATGGAGCTAATTGCACGTATTTTTGTAAATATGTTACTGGTTTTATATTTTGTTTAGAGATTTATTGATTTTCTTGAAGATTAAAAAGTAGATAACCAGTTTCATATTCCTCTATTAAAGTAAAATACAAAGCTTTAACTATCACTACAAATGAACTTCTTTAAATCAAGTAGTTACTTTCTAACTGTGGCATCAAATCTTCTGATCCAGGTATACTGTTTAGTAACAATCAAACATCAAAATTGACTATTATTTTGTCTAGATCAATAAACAAATGCGATGATTAAACTTTTGTCAATTTGATTACACTAACAATTGGCATATTTGTTTACCAAACACGTAACTTCTCTTTTATTTTCTCTTTGTTTGCCAAGATGGTTATTCATAATATTTACTGTCCATCTTGAGGTGGAATATTAAATTTAAGTTGGTTATCATTCTAATAACTTAACTAAATTGACTACTTCTTCTTTACTTGATATAAACATCTTTGTAATGATAATTTTAATTTTTACTCAATATGTAATTATAATTAGTAGCAATTTAGATAATATATCTTCAATCAACATCTCAATATATAATGTTTTTTAATTATAAGTTAATACATTCATCGACTGATAATAAATAAATATTAATTATAACATTAAAAAAATAATAATTTTTATACGGGAATATATAGTAAGATATTTCCGTATTATGTTAATATGGTTTTCGAACGTTCCTCCACAATTATGTACCAAATTCCTAAAATTGATTTGGTTTTATTGATAATTTCTTACATGGTGGGAGGTTGTGGTGGGGCATGTGGAGGATCAGACCCATTACCTATCAAACAATATTAAAAGAAATTAGAGAGAAAATAAAATTACGATTAAATTGAAATTAAGGAATAAATTAAGAATAGAGATAGAGAAGAACCTTGAGAAGTGGGGAGCAATCGTCTGCGTTTTAACTCGGCATGTTCTTGGCAGAGAGCACAAGGTTCACAGCAGAAATGGACACAACAGTCATTACAAGGGAGAGGCGGTAACCCTAATTTTCTACGTAATGTTCCTCTGTATGCGCACGATAACAACCAGTGACATGAGCACGCCATTAACAATCCATACATGCAGCCTTGCAGAAAGCATGAAGCTACACCCACCGTTCATCGTCGTCACTACCAATTTTTTTATTTATATTACAGAGTATATTTCTGAGAAATCAAAGAAAATATATACAAATCTAATACATACAACTTCCTTCATCCAGGACTTGTGCGATTTGGCCAAAGATGACACATGGTACACAACATGTTAATAAACCTGCATCAATCATTACTTATTTAATGAACTTGTTGATTATTGAACAATATGAAAGTTGATATATATATATATATATATATATCTCTCTCTACATATAATAGCTATATGTAAACTTACAGGTACCCACATCACCCCCACAACCACAAAGCTCAACAGACCACTCGGCTGCTTCTTCAGAATTTGGATCTTCGACATTCATAGCTTCTCTCTTCTTATCTATATGTATCTCTTTCTCTTTTTCTATATATATATATATATATATATATATATTTGTTTATGTATAATTAGTACCAAGACGTCTATTGTCAGCAACCAAGCCTATATAATAATTTAATTATGTAAACAAGGAAGGTTTTGTCTCATTTCGTCTCTCCCTTTCCTGACAGATCATAAATTCATATCTACTGTTATATTTGAGGTCATGTATATGTACCATATACATATATATATATATACATAATAAAATAATAATAACAATAATTGTCTCTTTTTAAAGCCAAAAAGTTGGTAAAGGTTTTTACTACATTCCGGTTATTTTCCCTGAGAGAATTTCCTCAACTAAAGAAATTTAAGTTGTCTCAAATTTTTTTTAATCTGAAAATATAATAAATTTGTAGAAATTAAATTAAACTCGATTATTATAATCTCGTCAACACACTAATTAATTAAATTATTAATTTTAATAAATTAATTATTATACGTTTACAATTATTAGCTACAATATACATATAAAATAATGAATTTTATATTTTTAGTGCAGTACAAATTCGCAATATTTAAGTAAAACATAATAATTTTAGACATTAAGTTATTGTGATGTTGGTAACAGTAATCTAACACTTATCAATCAATTAAAAAATATGTATAGTATATATGAGGACAAATTACTAAATTATTTTTAAATTTTAAAATTTATTATAATTTAGTTTTTAATATTTATTCTCTTACAATGTAATCGTTGATATTTTTTATATTTATTTAAAATTTCTAATTTTCTTTTATTTATTAGCATAAAAAAAATAATGATTATATTATATTTAGATACTTATAAAAAAAACTCAAAGATAAATTTTAACAAATTAATTAAATCGATAAATCAATAACAATGAAGACTATGTCTAATAGTATTATTACCTTATTAATTAATTAATTAATTAGTTAAATTCATTATTTTGAATTTACTTTTAAAGTATCCAAATCTCTTACTGCTATTTTAAAGACTCAATTATAATATGTATCAAACTTAAAAAATTAATTTAATAATTTGTTCTACATAATGCTTAATAAAATTTCTATGTCACTACTTTTCTTCTTGATGGATCTCTAATATAACAATTAGCAAAATCAAACATTTTAATTCAATTAACAAGATATAGGCTTCCTGTTTTTAATATATTTTGTATTTTCCCCCCAATTTTAAGCATATAATTTAGAACTTAATTTTTCAGTAAATTTATTAATTCAATCATGCATCCTGAAAAAAAAAAAAAATCAGTAATATAGTAATAAATTATTTTCTACAACTGATATATATTGATATTATATTTCATTAATTAATTTAATTAACCAATAAAATTTTATAAAATGAAATTTGATTCCATAAAACTAATTATGGAAAATATGATATTAAATTAAGGTTTATCTGTTTTAGAAAATAATTTATTTCCAAATTAGGATACCATATAATTAAAATACTAATCGTATGATGTATTAATAAAAAGGTAGGAGTAAATTGACATAATTTTTTTTTTTTTTTTTAAAATATTTGAGATCAAATGTATTTAAGTCAAAAAAGGAAAAGTATTATCTTTTAATGGGCTTAGTTTTCATTTAGTTTGGGCCTTGGCCCATCTAACCTCTCTTTTATATTTTGCCTTCATTGTTCTTTTATTTTAATATATATATATATATAAGATGTATGATTTGTGATTTCAAATATAAAATTTTAGTAAGATCTAAAGTGATTTTCTAAAATTTAGACATTATAACTTTTGTATTTAAATATATTAAAATCATATTCTAATTTAAGTTTTTTTTTCCCCCTCCCCAAAAGTTGTAATGGCCCCGGAAATTTAAAATAAAATGTATATTAAAAATATCAAATGCGGAAGCGAAGTCAAAAATTCGATTAACATCTCTTACACTAAAACTAAAAACATGCTCACAAAATATAAAAGATCAAACTACCTAAAAGAGAAACTTGAAAGTAAAAGCTACGAATATGACTATGGAGTCTTTAGGGGTCCCCTTCGTCGTCCTCCTGCGGAACCGGCTCGGGAACAATGTCTTCCTGATCTGAAATGATTAAATAAGGAATGAGCTACACTAGCCCAGTAAAGACATCACGATATCTCACCGTCATGGAGGTAAAGGTGGATAGAAAACACAAAAAGACCAATTGAGCATAATTTACAACAAATTCTTTTATCAATAATAATCCTTCACCATCCACTTACCTCGGTGAAATTCATAAAACAGTATATGAAAGCAATAACATTATCATCATCATGAAATCATATATGAACTGTATAACATAATACTTATCAAGCCTTTTGTAATTCAATCGTTACACAACATATTTTTCTCATTTACCAGCCCACTAGTATCCATGGGGATCCATAGGGTCCCGCTACCCGTTAACCCTTAACACTTGAAATCAGATTCCAGGGCCGTCCCCATACCCCGTCCGGTATGGGCGCCAAAACTATAAACCTCATTACCCCGTCCGGTATGAGGGTGAAACGGGCCGTCCCCATACCCCGTCCGATATGGGTGCCAAAACACATAAGATCTCCATACCCCGTCCGGTATGGGAGACCACAATTCCGGTAGGGTTCCTGTAACAGCACCGGAAATTCATAATGGAATGTATATTAAAAATATCAAATGCGGAAGCGAAGTCAAACATTCGATTAACATCCATTACATTAAAACCAAAAACGTGCTCACAATATAAAAGATCAAACTACCTAAAGGAGAAACTTGAAAGTAAAAGCTACAAATATGACTATGGAGTCTTTAGGCGTCCCCTTCGTCGTCCTCCTGCGGAACTGGCTCGGGAACAATGTCTTCCTAATCTGAAATGATTAAATAAGGAATGAGCTACACTAGCCCAGTAAAGACATCACGATATCTCACCGTCACGGAGGTAAAGGTGGGTAGAAAATACAAAAAAACCAATGGAGCATAATTTATAACAAACCTTTTATCAATAATAAAACCTTTACCATTCACTTATCTCGGTGAAATTCATAAGACAATATAGGAAAGCAATAACATCATCATCAATCCACATACAAACAAGCAAAACAGTAATTTATGCCAAACAGACAACACACAGCATCGATATCCCAGTCATTCAATCCATAATCAATAAAACAGTACAATATGCACACAAAACTATAAAATAAAAACATCAAACCTCATACTGCATTTAAAACTGTAAAACAGGCCAAATAACAGTTAACCGACAAACACACTAGACTCGGGCTCCATTAGCGACCTTAAGCAATTTCACACATTCGTTGATTCATGAAATACCGTTTTATCATTTATTGAACTTTAATACCGTGATAGGAGATAGGGTGAGGGGTCCTTACTCGTTTCGGGGTCCGAACACGGCTTCACAGTGCGCTTGCAGGCTGTCCCTAATTTTTCTTGAAATTTTTCCGGGGAACTAAAACGCACTACTGGTACCTGCACGTGTTCCAAAAAATCCCAAATTAGGCCCAAGGCCCCTTTCGACCAATATCGCAACTCCGGCACGGCGGCTCTGCCGTGCTCCGGCGACTGCGCCGCCGCTTACGGCGGCGGTTCGCCTCGGGTTGGCCGTTTTCGGCCGAATTCGGCCACACTCGCATTGGTTCCTGCAATAAAATAACCCTACGGCCCTCAGGGGGCCGAAAATTTACGAAAAATCGAAGCTTACCGGCGGCGGTGCTCTCGGGTGCGGCAGCTCTCCGATGAAATTCGTGTTTTGGTGATTCGGCTCCGATCAACCTGTAGAGAAAAGAATGGTGATCACAGTGGTATAAAAATTGTATTAAACGGAGGCCGGGAAGGGCCTCATCGGAGGCAAAAATCAAGGTGGGGCGCGGCGGCGCCGCTGGCTTTCGGCCGTATTTTCCGGCCGTTTGGCTAGGATTTTGGCTCCGATTTGGCCACTGGAGAAATCAGCGTGGAAAAACGAGTCGGGGGTATGAAATTTACCTCGATCGGCGGTCGAAAATCTCCCCGATGCGGCAGCGGGTGGCGGCGGCCGGCTCTGGTTCGTCTTCTCCGGCGAGGGCAAGCGGCTAGGGTTTTGTGGTCTGGTGTGGAGGTTCTATTTATACCCTTTTGTCTTTTGATCTTAGCTGTCCATTTTGATTTAATCTGGGCCGTCCGTATTTGATTAAATTTGGGCCGTCCGTGCTATTAAATCTGGGCCGTCCGTGCGTGCGATTGATCTGGGCCGTCCGATCGTGCGCACGCGGATCGCCAACGTGGCCCGTCCCGGATCGACGTGGTCTTGCCACGTGGCAGGTCCCGGTTGGCCGGGACTGCTGACTAGGTCTGCTGACATGGCTGCTGACGTGGCCCCTCTTTTTTTTTTTTTCTTCTTCTTCAATTTCCCGGGCACTACAGTTCCCTACGGACCCGGTCCGTCCACCATCTCCCAGGATATCTAGTCAGGCTGACCACATTATACAATTACCCATTTACATAATCTTTCATTCTCTTTTCCCTCAGTCAGCATCATCAATCCACATACAAACAAGCAAAACGGTAATTTATGCCAAACAGATAACATACAGCATCAATATCCCAGTCATTCAATCCATAATCAGTAAAATAATAAAATATGCACACGAAACTATAAAATGAAAACATCAAACCTCATACTGCATTTAAAACTGTAAAAAATGTCAAATAACAGTTAACCGACAAACACACTAGACTCGGGCTCCATTAGCGACCTTAAGCAATTTCACACATTCGTTGATTCATGAAATACCGTTTTATCATTTATTGAACTTTAATACCGTGATAGGAAATAGGGTGAGGGGTCCTTACTCGTTTCGGGGTCCGAACACGGGTTCACAGTGCGCCTACAGGCTGTCCCTAATTTTTCCTGAATTTTTCCCGGGGAACTGAAACGCACTACTGGTACCTGCATGTGTTCCAAAAATCCCAAATTAGCCCAGGGCCCCTTTTTGG